GAGTAGACTGGCTGCCAAAGGTGGCAGGCCCAGTCATGTGTGGAGTTTGTGTCATCTGGGAAGGGGATGGGGCACTGCTGTCAGTCACTCTTCTTTTCTTCTTGCCAGGAGCTATAGTGGAATGAAAAAAGTCTTTGTCCCTAAGATAGGCATAAAAGCAAGGGGCTGAGAAAAGGTTTTCAACCAATGAGAATAAGTCTTGTCAAAAAGCAAGGTGTGGTGTATTATTTAACTGTGGTTGGAACAGAGATGGAGCAAGTTAGTAGTGATAGAAAGCTTCTTTTTTTTAATTTTTAATTTTTATTTTTATATTTCGCTTTATTTATGTTTAACGCATACAAGTCACATCAGCTACCATTGCGTAGACCAAAACCTCCACCCCTGTCCGTGCCCCAGCAGCCGGAAGAAAAACATTTTTAAATGGTTGAGCAGATATTAAAAACTCTCCCGAGCCGCAACTCGCAGTGGATACTGCCAGACAACTATACTCAAGGAACTAAAACTATGGAAATCCTTCGACCTGACAGATGAAATTCCTTGACTTATATGAAAGCACAACATCCAACAAAAGGAAACCCCGAAACCTAAGGATCTTGGTCCAAACCTACAAGGCCTAGGTGACTGGATTAAAGTAGTCCCAGAATCCAAATAGCTGATCCTGAGCACTTGTTCAATAAATCTATCTGTGGACATATAGTCTAGCAGCAGGTGGCAAGGCAGAGCCAGAAAGCAAGGAGAAAGCTCTCTCTGAGACCAGGTAGCATGCACATAGCAGTGTAATAAAATCCAGACCATCCTCTAAGGGGTACTGGGATAAAGGGCACAAGGCCTAATAGAGAGGAAAAAAGGCTAGTAGGATACTAGCCAGCATTAGGGTGCCAGCCATGATGGAAAGATAATATTTGGCAGTTGAGTAAGTGCCAGCCGGACATGAAAAGTATGGTGGTAGTCTGGTACCAGCCAATCAAATCAAGGAAAGAAGAGAAAAGAGGTAGTCCGTGATGCCAAAACAACTATCAGAGATGTGTTTGTGTCTTAAATAGCCGCCCACCATTTTTCTCCCATGCACCTATGTGTATTACTGCATCACTGATATAGTTTTTTATTTCCAGAGAACTAGCACCAGTTAGTGGATAGGATACTACCACCTATAGGAGGAACAGAGGATTAGGATAGTAAAATCGACGCTAGCTTGTTGAAGAAACCACACCAACTCATAGGAGAAGTGGTGGAGTCTATCTTAGTCCCATACAATAACCTGTATCCCCAGCCCTCTGTTGAAGGGAAAAAGTAAAAACCCAACCATGTTGAGACTAAGTGAGGCTAAAGCAAAACCAGAGTAGAAATGAAAACCCACATTCTGAGATACTTGAAAAAAGGAAGGAGGGACTTAATAAAGTAGACCTCAAGAGAAAAAGCAGGAGAAAAATCATATCATGATGGGAGAATCAAAGGTAATAGCCTAATCCTCACCCTAAGGGAGGGACCAGACTGGAAAAGTAGTGTGAAGTTTTCTGGTATTGAGTTCTTTCCAAATAGGAAATAAATTACTATCACAGTGGGTGTAGCAGAGACAGTCCCGAGTGATAGGAAGTAACTAGCAGTATATTATGTCTACTTAAATAGATGTGACTTCTCCTCTACTCGGACAATCAACTACCTCTCGATCTCAGGACTTAATTTAGCAAAGCTGTAGTTTAATGATATTCGGTTTTACGCTTTTGTTCTTAATCTTTATTACTCTGATGTTGAGATTGTATTACCTTTATTCTCGGCAGAATTCATTTTGGTGTAGTCTCACTCTTAGAATCCATCTTCCCATACGGAGTACTAATTATAAATGCTGCCTGTGATAGATATCAACGCAAATGAAAAAGATATTCATTTATTCCCTTAAAGTAATAACAGAATATTTGAGGTTACAACTGTACCCTCAAGGTGTAACAGATATCACTGGTATGTAATTGTAGTTTACCAGATGCTATGATGGCAATGAGCATACAAGTGCTTTGTATTGAGATGGAGTTCAGACCAGGGATGCTAAATAATGCTAGTGCAGATATTATGCTAATATCTTGTTACTTTCTTATACATAATTAGCATTTCACACATCCTGTATATCAGGTACTAAGAACATTCAGGGTATGATGATAAATTTTTACTGATGACTGTGCACCTCTATACCCCTGTCAATGGCTACTTGACCTATTATACTGCTCCTCCCCTGTCAGGTTCATGTTGGCTTTCCCAGTTGGCAATAACCCATACTGTCTAATCTACTCTTCTAACTACAAGGTACTCCAGGCAATACACAATCCACCTTTCACATTTCTTCCTGCAGAGTAGTGAGATATGTCAATTGAGTTTGTTGGAAGCATCAAGAATGCTGCTGACATAACTATCATTTCTTCCTGTTTCCTCCCACCTAATACTTAAAAATATCCTACTAAGACTACCAACTCTGCAGTCATGATATTGGCCACTGCTGACATTAATAAAATAGGTAAACATATCTTCCTGTATTCTTCTTAGTCCTTGGAAGTTTAACAGGAGTACATCCACACCCTCTTAATACAGTACTATTAGTGTTGGCAATTTACCCCTTCCATGCCTGTGTATACTAGACTGTATGACCCATTCCTGCTGCTGTAATTCCCACATAATATCAGCCTACTGTTACCTCAGTCCTCTCTGCTCACTCAATGTAATCTTAAGGTAACTCTTGCCTATTACCTCATACCTAATTGACTTGAATATCATTTCTACCAAAACCTAATCTCTCTTCTTTTAGTTGATTCATCTAATTTTTCACATTTCACCAATCTGGGTCAGGAAGATCCAACTGCATACTATTCGCTTTTCTTATAACATTCAAAATTTGCCTACTCTGTATCTCACCAGGTTATTCTGGTTCTTACTGTAACAGAAAAACTCAAATAATTAGACACTCTACTGGACAGTTAAATCACGCTATGTTTTGCTAAGAGATCAGTGTGAACGTCATACATATAAGTCTCACTAACACTTGGCAATCTATTCATAGTGAAAATCTAGCTCTTCTTCCTCTACACTACCATCAAACCTATCCGCAATCTCATTCCCCTCCACAGATCTCCTCTCCTAATCCCTTAACCCCTCTATAAGAACATGGTTTGCTAATTTTTTTTAGAAGTTTCATTATCCTTACAACCATCAATAGGCAGTGAGAGACCAACAGTATAGAAGGCCTAGTAAACTACCTCTGTCCTCTCGGTTGAAAATCATCCCCATGCTTTACCAGCTGCCCTTATTAGAGCGTATCTCCTCTAGCCTATCATACTTCTATTAAGTCTTTTCCCCTCCCTCATTGCCTTTCCCTGCACATCCACCATAATTGCTAACCACTTGTCCATTGTCTCCTATACGAAACAGATAAAAAATTAAAAAAGATAAGTTTTTCCCCTTCCCTCATCTTGAATATATAAGCCTGACTACTAACCTTGTGTATATCTTTAAAGGGACAGTTGATTAATATATCAAGAGGCTGTACAAGCTGTGTGCACCCTCTAAGTATTACACTTGTTATAATATCATGGGTAGCAAAGGTATCCAAAACCGCCTGCATTCTATGTCCTGAAAAAAAAATCTATTACGAGGAGAGTGGGCTGACCTTTAAGGAAAGGAACGTATTCCTCATTAAGCCACTCAAGTATGTTGCTCAAGTTTGTATATACGGTCCTGTTGAATTTTACAATAACCCAATCATCATACTGCACTTGCTCTGGGGTCATGACCGGGTCAGTTCCTTGGCTATGTATGAAGAGGAGAGGTTTAACTCATGTAACCTGATCCGCAGAAACAGTAAGTTGCAGAGTCCCTTGTCTTTTATCCCAGCCTAAACAGCTGGCCTGGTTCTAAATAATATTGTCACCAATCTGCTTGTAGGTTTGGCCTTCTGGTTATTCAAATGGGATCAGTGTTTGGTCCATATTACTAATTTTCTGTAACCGGTAGCTACCAACTTGGTGAGAGGTAGGTAGTTTCCTGCTCAAATTGTCATTTGGGCTGATTTGGGAGTTATGGTGATTAAACTGTACCCAACTAACTCTCATATTAGCAAAGTTGGTAGGGAGTTAACTTGTTTTATTAGTGCAAAAATAGAGGCTAATTTGATACCATAATAAATATCGGCGAAACCAGTCATTTGAGAAGATCAAGGTACTTACAGTATTATCAGCACTTACAGAGTACTTGAGAAAAGGCTCTCAGCTCTTGTCAGCTCACTTGCCTTAGTTGGGCTGATTCGTATGTTTTCTCCCATCCAATATGAAATCGAATAAGATAGTACACATAACTTAAGGTTTACTTTATAGGAACAGTATAGGTTTGCTACATTTCTCTCCCCTACTCTTAAGAGCTGCCCTAATGGCTTCCTCTTTGGCCATGTTTTTGTTTTTATGCCAACATACAATCGCTCTGCTGGCAGTGGAGGGAGATTGAATTCAATGTGTAAACGGCCACATGGCTGGGATGGCATGAGGTACTAGCTGGAAGCTGCTCATTTTAAGAAATTTAATTTGTTATGTAAAGAGAATGTGTATTTAGAAATTAATCATGGATTTGTTTACATTTTGTTCAGGACTCACAATATCATGAGGTTCAGGTAAGGTTCTAATGTTTTTGATATACTCGTATAATACTGTTTTATCTTAAAGACATTTTCAAGACATGAGTAGCGATTTCATACCTTAATTTACCCGTCTAGCACAGTGTCCAATTATTCGAGTTTTTACGGTATGACGCAATCTCTCTGGCTATCAGTTTAGCGCCAACATTTCGATAAAATGAGACGGCTTCATTTCGCTGGCACAATCATGAGTTCGTGAGGCATTCCTAGTTATCTTGTTAACCTGCGGGGTTGGCATTATTTTTTCAATTTACGTTACCCTCTCTATATGAACCCCTCCACCCCACCTACCCACCTTCCATCAGACGATAAATGAGGATATCTCGGATAACAACCTGCTCGTATCAGAGTTGCATCAGGAGAAGCTCCCATTTTACAACCTTACTCTACGAGTACTGATCCTCATTTGGTAGCGAGTGTATTCACGTGAATGTCACAAACCCACCCCCCCAGAAGTGAGCTCCTATCATTCCCTTCCGGTTATTTAAGTACCACAGTGTACATCTCACCCTCGTCGCGTCCACCTGGAGGAACTCGAGATGTTTGACCCCTCGTTGCCCCACACTCAGGGAATCAATCCTGCAACAAAACAAACCCTCCTATACCTCCCCTATGCTAATGCCTCCACTATCTTTTCACACTTGTTCCCAACCTTAATTTCCCCTTCCCTCCCGAAGCCCTTCATCCCCAGCTTCTACCGCCCCCGTCATTCTCGGACCCCCTGTTCCTCACTCCTACCGGCACCATAGGTATAGCATCTCTGTTTCACCCCCCTTGCCTTTTTCACCTGGTCACACAGCCAATGTCCCTTATTTCCACTTTTACTTATCGTACTTCCAGAAACCCAAATGGAGGTTAGCAACTCAAACTTCCGCCAGCTTTTGCCTGACATAATCAGCAGCATCGATAACTCTTGTTTCGGTTCGTCTTCTATCTGCTCCCAGGACGTCTATCACGCGTTCGGTCTAATTGCTTACCTTACCCCCTTTCTTAGTCGCCGTCGACCTTGAATTGAGCGGAATACACAAAACCTTTGGGCCGCGCAATACTCCGCTAAACAGAAAACAAACTCTAGAAGAACGATACAAGGAAGTGAAGGCGGCAGCAGAAAGGTTCCAAGTACTACAACTTGGGCTATGCGCAGTGTCTTACGATGAGCTGCTCGGTTAGTTTTCACCTTGGTGATCCCCTGGCCCGTGTCTCCCATACTAATGCTCAGGCAGAATCCTACGTTTGCCGGCCATTCAACTTTTTCGTGAACCCCAATTCTGAGCAAAAGTTTGGCCTGGATCGTGAATACGTTGTGCAAGCAAGCGCCATTGGTTTTCTTCTCGAGAGTGGCTTCAACTTCAATTCTACATACACCTCTGGAATCCGCTACTTGAGTCGTAGGGAGGAACGGTATGTGATTGAACGGGAAAACCGCCTGGCTCAGGAGTTTAAGGAAGACATTCACATCGATGAGGCGTCCCAACAATTTGTGCGGTCCAATCCTTCTGGCTTTATTGGTTTCTCTCTCTGACCGGCTCCACGTCTTACTCTCTGCCACAGGTCAAGGACTTTATCGCCGAGATTCAAGAATGGGTGGATGATCCGAACGTACACTTTTCCACCTTCAGTCCCCTTTCTAAAATTTGCTAACCGACATGGATTCAGCCAACCTTCGATTTCGTCAATATCTCAACTGTCGGCCAAGGAGTTAATAGTTACCAGAAACGGCTTATACATCAAGTTGTCAGAAAGACATTCCCGCATCTTCAGACCTTGGGCAGGCCAACTTTTGTCCAGGTAATACGGACTGACCCAGCCGCTGAAAAGATGAAGCGCGATGAACGTAGAGCACGTTTCGAAACCGATGTTGAGAGAGGAATTGGCTTGCGACACGTTATCGACGCTCTTTTTTCTTCACAGAAGCCCCTTATAGGCCATAACCTTTTCACTGATCTGATCAACCTTTACGAATGTTTTATTGGACCCTTACCTGACACTTCAAAAGAGTTTGCGCACGCCATACATGAAAGCTTTCCAATGTAAGTTCCAACACTCAGAATCCCACGACCGGACATCTAATATACTTGCGCCTGGCTAATCTCGATGCAAAGAGTAATCGATACCAAATTTATAGCGACCTGCGATACAGAGACTGCAACTTACGGCTCTAATTTACAAGGAATCTGGGACCTTCTCAGCACCCAAGATTTCCCCGCAATCGGTATTTCAAGTCACCGTCAATCTGTCCCAGTAATGTTCTAACACTACCCAGGGCTCGACCTTGGATACACCCGTTACGCTACCTCAAGGCTCGCCCACGAAGCTGGATATGACAGCTACAATACCGCCCAAATTCTAATCCGCCTTATTGGTCGCTATCAGGCGTACCTGAGCCGTCATCTAGCTTCTGAAAATGGTGATCCGGAATCCATGGCCATCAAGCACCTTCTTGACTACCTTCATAGGCTTGACAGGTTCCCGCTTGCAGATCACCGTATAGATATTCCGAAGCGCTTCCCATCGCTAGAGTCAGGTTTCTGGAAGGTGTTCACCAACAAGCTTAGAGTCAATGGCACTCTGGAAGGATTGTGGGTGTTGGGCAAGTAATGGCTTGTGAGAGTAGATTGGTGCTTTACTACCCGGTAGACCGGCGCCCTTTTTGTGTTAGTCACCCGAATAATTAGTTTCATTGTACCTTCGAGCACGTTTCTAGATTTTTACTGCCCACCACATGTTTTATGTCTCTAAATCCACAACCCCTCACTCGGTTCCCCCTGGCTCAGCTCCACACAGCCCCTATGAAATCCAATCCAACCCCCACGAGTTTCCCCTCCCGATTCCGGGACTGGCGCTGTTGCCAGGAGTCGGCTTCCCGGTTGCTCTCACGGTGTTGCAGGGCACCACGTGCCGTACAATAGCCAGAACGTTTCCCGGATGGCGAAGATTTCTCCGCCCCAGGTTTCATACGATAATCAATCCCCGCTCGGAGTGTCGAGGTTCTGCAACCCGGAACGAACTCCCGTTGCCACGGTAACAACACGGGACAGGGTTACTGGAAAGCAGACCGAAGCGCAAGGTCCTGCACGCACTTCCGCTTGTTCTTGGTGGGTAAAGAAAGATTATGATGGGAGGATTTCAACAACGTGGGTGAAACATTCAAACATATTGAGCAATCCCCCACCACCCTGATGCCCTCCAAAATTATATCGAATCTAACAAGATTATTCCTCTCTACCGCTCTAATCTAAGGAGACAATTCCTCCCTGATAGTTGAACCCAAGAAAACTATACCTCTCTAATGCTTGAATTCAATGATGCGGTTTCTCATTGCGGCTTGAGCGCGATGCAGATTTCAATATTAGAATCCTGATACTAGTACTCACGTGGGGTAAGAAAATTTCAACCCCCTACAACTAGAAAAAGAGTGTATTGAACCTAATTACACACTGCTGCCTGCAAGCTATGAGCTCCAAGTCGATAGCTGTTCACTGGGAACAAATCCTTATGTCAGAAATTTATCAACGCGGACTTGGATAGCAGTCATGTTTGCCACTGGCTCGAATTTGACTGCATTTACCCTGTCTCAGAAACGTCAAAGGCAACTAGGTTACATAGCGGCTATGTTCTCTGGCCCAACTACAATTATTCATAACCAACCACGCTTAACTACCCCTCTCACATTGGGCTCCGGATCAAAATAGAGGCAATTGGTGCCATGAATTCTTGCAATTTTTCAGATACCAAATCTGTGAACTCGTAGTTGTCCACAATATGCCTGAATAATTTGAAGGTCAGGATTATGCGCTATGAACTATTGGGCCATGTGTTGTCTGTTTCCGTCTCTCATGGCCTAGACAGTTAAAGAATTGAATTTTTGAGTTTGACTGAGACTGAGGATAGTCAAGTTGTATCTTCAATAGAGTATGCATACATCTCTATACTAGTAGGAGGTTGTAGATAAAGTTTGAATGAGATTCGAAACTTCAAAATTATGTTATAAGGCTCCCCAAATACTTAAATGCATAACAATCTAGTGAAACTTCCAGACCTGTTTAGAGGTTTATTGATGGAATACACTAAATATTTTGCCATACTGGTTCAGAAATTTTGGATCCAGAGTTATTTCAGTTCAGCCAAAGTTATGACTATAGTATGCAGTCTGACATGGTAGTAAACCCACTATTCAGAAGTATTGTCCCATACCTGTTACTCCATAAATGTTAGGATATTCTCAAGTAAAGATAAAAATAAAATAAAAAACAATAAAGGAGAATTATTCAAGATTATTTATGAGGATAAAGAGCAGATATTTAGAAGGAGAATCATTTCAGTTTTATCTTGTTTACTCATCCTACAAGGCTAGCATCTATTCTAATTCAATAGTCAATATGAAATACCAGGACCCACTAAAAATGTCAGCAAGCTTGGTCAACTTCGATGATAATTTTCACTTTGTTATTATCTGCCTAGATAAATACAGGTATGGCTTATTGAATAGTGTAAGGTTTACTATTTTTACTAAATAATATGATAGTAATTGTAAATAGAAATTTATTCAAATTTTGTTTTTCTTTTATAAGGTGTTTTATTTTCTAGGAGTGAGTTAGAAAATTACACATGTTTAGGAACTTTATAGTAGAGTATTAGAAAGCAGGACAAGAAGTTTAAGAGTTAATTGTAGTATCAGTGTAATGATAGTCCATGGAGTACGATTACAATTAGTCAAACCAATACTCATACTGGTGTCAAGAGACTAGTATGATAAGAATGGTGGTAGACATGGTCTAGCCAGTGAAAATACTTTGGCTGGGTACCTTGGTCAGACATTCTATAGAATACTAGAGGTACTTACCTACTACTATGGTGCAGTGGTTACCCTACTCTAGAGGGTAACTCAAGTATCAAATTTGGAAGTTACTCTAAGTTGTATAATAGTGAGTGTAGACAGTCACACTGGGCTGTAGGATGACTCAGAATGTGATTACCCTATCTTTGGATTAGGATTACCCAGCCTTGAACCATGTAGCATCCTGCTATGGAGTCAAGTTACACAATCTTGGAAGTAACCTTTTATGCATGACTTTGAGGAAAGTTGTTAAATTATTTGTTATACAGAACTACATAGATATAAGAATCTCAGGTTGGATGAATCAATCACACACAACCTGTTGAGCCTTGAACAACATGTAACTTGAAGGGGTGGTTGCTAAGACTGCTACTCTCTCGCTACATTATAAGTAAATTATGTCATGTGCTACAGTTTGGAGAGTTGCTGTAAGTCCAGTAAAAGTCTACTAGTGGAGGTACTCCTGTAACACTATATACATTAACACTATCTAATCGACCACATGCTGTCTGCAGGATGAAAGTGGTGGAAGAGCAGAACTTGGAGAATAGCCTCCAGTTGGTTGCCTGAAAAACAGACCAGAGCTGAAAGAGTAATACTAATTTTAAGTAAGAAGAAGAATGTAAAGTTAATGGGAGCCTGTAGGCGAGATGACTGAAGTCTGTTACACTGAAAGTGTAATTGTATTGGAAAATTAATAAGAACTCTAAAATACTAGTCTGAGGTCATGATAAAACCTACTTCCAAGCGGTTGACAGTCGATAGCTGTTAGGCAGAGACAACATGTATAGACTCAGAGTTGTCTTAAACCAACCAAGATGCCTTGCTATAGAGAGAGATTGTCTAAGAAGGCTCGAAATATAATTGTTTCATTTATGACTGCTAAGAGTAATGTAAAGTAGGTAAAGTAGAATAGAATCGGAAGAACAATATTATATTGTTAAAATCTCTTTCCCATTGCTTGATAATGTCTAAAATCTTGGGAGGCACATCAATATTTATATTCTGCATCTGAGTGTTCATAGACTACATTTATCTATTATACAAACTATGTACCTCTCAGAATATTGCTCACAATATCAGGTATCCTTTAATGGTGCAAATACCTGGAGATCCTGAAAACCACCACTTTCTCTTTGGTAATTAGTAACTTATTTTGCAAATTAGAAACTATGCTGTTGCCAATAGTAATTATCTGATTTTCAATGTCATTAGACTTATAGCCTAGTTCTCAAGTCGAGTTGTATTGGCCTAAATTGTCTTCCTTATCAGTAAAATGATAGGTTTCATTGGTAGGTTGTATCTGCAGAGGTAGTCATAAATTCAACCTTCCTAGATATACGACTTTAAACCTCAATAACTTCAAATTCAACACATAGATATCTTTCGGATGACTTCCTATTAATCTGCGGGTAGCCATGTTACCAGATTGGCAGATAATCCCTCAGTCAGCAAATGTGCCAAGTCATGTATGCTGCCTTCTTATGTCACCAACGTCAAAGCTTAATATCACATGATCTGACCCACAGATTTCTCTCCAGTAATTTTCCTCATGTAGAGGAGAAGCACTTCAATAGGATAGAATCTTTATCCTTTGGTAAGAGATTCTTGGTTGTCATGGAGGGAGTCTTGTAGTTACAAGTAGTATTGGTAGAAAACAACTTAATACTAGAAATAACTTTGACAACAGTAGGAGCAGAACATGTGACCACCTGGGAGGAATTATAAGATATTCCGATTGTACTTAGGATGTGGCATTATAGTCACAGGAGTTAACGGAGATAGATATGTCTAATGATGTGCGGGCACAGTAGGTGGGCAGGAGGAGAGTGTCAGAGACTAGAGATTCCGATTCTGAGTAGGGTTACCATACTTAGAGTAGTTCCTAGATATCAGATCCTTGTACTTCTAATAGTAGCATCTATTAATACTCAACCTCCATAGTGATCTATTGTGGAAGATATATAGTCATTATCCCCCATGATATAAAATAGTATGGAGCTGGATAATGGTTCTGGGGCTGTAGATGCTTGTGGGAAATTAAGTGTATATGAGTACAGAGTACCATAGTTAGTGTAGCATCTACTCAGGCATGATAGCTTACAACTGATGTGTCTGCGATATGAAAGGCTTTTACTTGTCTAGTTATATTGAAGATATAATGGCCAGCACACTTCTGTCAGATACATGTTAGAAAACCACAGAGTAGTTTCGTTTACTATGCAGGATCATTGGTCTAAGCTGGAGAGGTTGGCTAGACAGCCCATGGGAGTTGGGTGCTTGCAAATGCACAGTTGTGATGAGAAGCTGTTTTTACATTTTATATGAAATTCCTTTTTTAATATCCAGCTTTATTTATGTCATGAGATATACTGGTCATATTACCAGAAGGTATGTAGACCTCAACCTCCATCCCTCTCTAGGTCCTGGCAGCCAGACAAAAAACCCTCAAACTAAAGCAAGTGGGTAGAAAAAGCTCTTTTGAGTAGCAAATGGCAGTGCACACTACCTGAATACCACACACAAGTTATCAAAAGCAAGGAAATCCTCCACCCAGGCTGTTGACACTCCTCAACATACATGAAAGAAAAACCACTGTACCAGGAAAATACCAAATCTAAAGCACCTGAGTCCAACTATATTGCCTATGTGATTGTGTTCCTATAGCTCAAGAAGCCATCAAAGGTCCATGTTTAGCGCACAATACAATAAATATATCTATTGCCATATAGCCCCGCAGTAGGGGTAAGAGTAAGTTGAGAAGTAGGTAGAAAACTCCTTTCAAGATGAAGTGGCGAGATCATAGCAGTGTAAAGAAAGCAAGGCCATCCTCCAAGTAGGACTGGTGCAAAAAG